TCTTTAGTCTTTGTTTTTATTCTAGTAGGTACTGACCAATTTTGATAATAGCAAAATGGATGAATCTTTTGTGACAAATTCAATTTGCGGACCAGATCAAGTTCGAGAGTATTTATGGAAACATTGCTAAATGAGAATTATAAAAACTCAACAATTGTTCACTCGCTCGCAAGCATATCTTAATTCATCATCAACAATCACAAGAAGAGCATATGTCAATTCATCATCAACAGTCGCAAGAAAAAGAATTTGATTAGGTTGATCGAGGCGTTTGTCCATGTACACAACTACAAAAGGCCTTATAGTCGAGAGTCTTAGGAGTTTCAATGCCTTAGAAGAAATCTCAGACAACTTCAAGTTCTTGCTAAAAAGTCACAAATGTCACTTGCCATACATATAGTCATCCGTGAACAAGCAAAAAATAAAGCAAAAAAATTCTCTGATTACACCGCTTATCTGTCTAGGAATTAGAAAATGTCTCCCTCACAAAGGTTATCTTACAACTTCTCTAGACAAAACTAGAACTTATAAATAGTGTACAATAAACAAACCTGTTTGAATTAGACTTAATATCACTGACAGACATCTTTGTTATTCTGATGGTGCTATCCACCCAGCGGGTGCAACTAAACTGTGATTCAGTTTGAAATTATTTTCACAAGTTCAATATCAAACAAAAGAGTTTTGTCTATAAGTCTTTGGTTCCTCAGCACAAAGTCCAAGGCTCGTTGCCCCTAAGCACATCAATATTAGGCAACTTCATGGAAAATTAACATAATGCAAGTCTGCTAGGAAGGATTCAATACCGAAAATGTTGTTGGTCTTGATCCTATCTTGTTGAAGCCATTCTCTGCACTCCTTTGTCTTGTATATAAACGTTTTAGCCATACACCTAATTGTGATCGCGAAACTCATATTTTAAAAAAGGTTCTTACATCTTTCAAAATTCCTTTAAAAATGCTAATATTGCCCCGTAGTTTTCTTCTCCAAAACACATGAGATCATTCACTAAACTACCCCCTTCGAACACAACTGAGGACAAAACATTTCTAATGACAATCTAAAATACCAACAAACACAAATATAACCCAAACACCAACTTCAATCCGCAATACCACCCATTACCAATGCAATCAAATACCATGCCCAATAGATTGCTTGATTGGGAGACTACTATAATCTTCCAATAGTGTATGTCAATTTCAATCAATTAACATTATTTAGTTAGTCCTCTTCCTCAATTCCATAGATTTGCTATATACTCAATTCAGCCCATATTGGCAAAAGCAAAGCATGCCCCCCCCCCCACACATTTGTTTGAGATGTCTCACTCGAAACACAGAGTGGCAAAGGTGGTTGAAGAGAGGAACTGGAGGCGATGTCCCAAAAGCCTTCTTACAATGGAGTGCGGTAGTAGGAGGTGATAAGGGGTGAAACGTCGAGTATGGAGTAGGCAACAGTAAAGGGAGCTGGATAGAGAGTGGAATGTTGTGAAGAACAAAGAGGGGTTGTTCCAAAAAATATGTTGCGAACGACGAAAATGCTTCAATCGACAGATAGTTCTCAAGCAATTGCTTATAAATGGATTCTAGTACCTTGTTTCCAGACTTCCGTGGATGAATTCTTAAAGTGATAGATACACAGAATAATGAATCAATAAAAGTAGACTCTTTTATTAATTCAATCGAATGAGTTTTAGTTATAGAATGATTAATTTAATAGTTTTCGATTACAACACTATCTACTTCCTAATAATCACTACTCCTACATACCTTGATTGTGGGTCTTGTGGGGGATTTAAGTTGTCCTTCAACTTGCTTCTTTCCCTTCTTTTATAGCCTCTTTGTTCGACGATTTTTTCTTAATTATAGTTAATTGGCTTTGTAATTCTTAGGCAGTTATACCCTCTTTCAAACTAGAGTTGTGGCTAATCGCTTCTCGCATTTTCTTTAGATCTTGACACGTGGCAATCATTTAATGTTTTAGATTTTCAATAATACATGCATCAAATGCTCTCATAATTTTTTTATTTTCTGTCCAAATAATGCCCCCTCATTTAATTGAGTTTTATTCTTAGTTAACTTTAGGTAAATGAATAGTCATTACCATTGCCTTCTTTAAACATATGTTTAAAAATTTTTTGCTGCTAAACTGTTCACTGAACTTCCCTCATCTACTTCCTTTCTTGTCTCCGAAAACCTCTAGCGATTTTTCTTTCTTTTTTTTCTCTTGCCAATCCATAATGGCTCCCAAAAAGCAAAATCCTTTATCTTCAACTGCCTCTAAGATTTCTTTCCCACCAAGGTTCTTTCCTGAAATTAAGTACGCTGCCATTGAATCTGTAGACCCAAGGGTTTTGATTCCTACCCCTAACTCAAGTGGTGCTCTAGGTCTTTCCTTTAAATCGTATGCTTGGGAGGGGTTTTCTGATTACAACTCTGTTCACGAAGGCAAAACCCTAATACTAAACCAATCGCAACTTTCGTGGAAGTTATGGAACCAAGAAACCGACCCACTCTGATCATGGGTCAACCCTGAATAACACTAGGATGATTGGGCCACCAAGATGGAAGTTCTCTGTGCCTCTCAATGGCGAAGATTGGGTATTCTTGAAATGATCAAGCTTTCCACCTAAGACCTGCATATGAACTGATGGCTAATTGGTGCTAGTGCATGCTTTTGGTCCCAGTCGTGCAATGCCATGCTTCTTCGCGTAGGCATGATGTCCCCAAGGATTTTAGATGTCATCTTTTTAATTGGGCTCCCTTCGACAGATATAGAGGTGAAATTCCTGTCTTTCTACCAGTGTTGGTCGCAATTTCTTCACTATCCCTTCTAGCATAGGGTATAATGATCTCATCAACGGTTTATTTGCTTCTCACTCCCCTACTTCATCATTCGTAGAACAAGTTTTTCTACTTCAGTAGTTATGTTGATTTATTTTATGTGTCCCTAGGTTCAAAGTGTCTTGAGAGTATGTATAGCCATTCAATTGGCTAGAAACAAAAAAACTTGTCTTAGCCCTTTTTGTATTGGGTGCATTGTATAGGGGCCGGTTTAACCTCACTGAGAATAGGATCACTACCAGCTACGGGGGGTCCTTTTTTGGCTTTTTTAGGCTTGGCTTTATGCCTATTTCCTTAAGGTTTGGCTCTCCATACCTTGCCTGATCCTCATTCCTTTGAATTACGCTCATCGGTTCCTCTCTATCCTAGTTCTTCACACTGAAAGGACTTTTAATTCTTACTTCAGCACTTTTTTCAATCTTCCTTTAGCCCGACATGATCTTGTACACCCCATTTAATAATTTCCTTTGCTTTGCCTTTCTTCCTAAGCCATTTTTTGATGATCTAGATACTTCTTTAGAAGAGGTTATTGAATCACATCNTGGCCCTCCGCTACCTTGCCCGATCCTAAATTCACTCCTTTGAATTACGCTCATCGGTTCCTCTCTATCCTAGTTCTTCACACTGAAAAGACTTTTAATTCTTAGTTTTGCACTTTTTTCAATCTTCCTTTAGCCCGCGATGATCTTGTACACCCCATTTCATAATTTCCTTTACTTTGTCTCTCTTCCTAAGCCATTTTTTGATGATCTAGATACTTCTTTAGAAGAGGCTATTGAATCACATCGCCTCTTTTGGGGTAGTGTTCTGATCCATGAGCAGGCACTAGTTCCAGAACTGCATTCCTTTCCTTTGCATGCATCCCTCTATTGATCTGCATATAGGTGCAAGGCAAAAGATAAAATTTGATACATTAATTGCCCAGATCTCCTAGGCTTACGAAAACTCCGTAGGGACCTTTCAATTTTTTCATTTTAGTTCTGATCCATCCTTGTCCCTTTTTTTAAGAGAGTGGTGGTAGAATATTTCAGCCTTGCTTTTTATTGATCTTCTAGAGTAATCTTTGTTAAGGCTTTGTTTTGACAACAAACACTACTGACACTCCTTCTAGTCGCAAGAAGATAACTGTCGAAACCCCTTCCCTTCCCCCTACTTCTTCTAACAAAGGGAAAACTATCTTGTTAGAAGAACCAAAAAAGAAAAAACAAAGGACCTCCTTTCCAAAATTGATGTAGTATGGCATAGATGCTCACGTTTTTCTCTCACAATCTTCTAAGAAAGCAAGAGCTCATCAAGCTGACATTGACATTGCCTTGCTTGTTTCTGTCAATGACCAAGGCACAGAGGAGGTTCCTCTTATTCGCAAAAAAATGGCAACTTCTGCTCCTGCGAAAGCCCCAGAAGCCACTTCCAAACAAGTTACTACACCCTCCAATCCAGCAGTCTTGGAGAAGGCTCAAGATACACTTCCTTCCCTCCACTGGGCCAACTTGTTCCTTCTAACAAGCAAATTGGCAAAAGATTCAAAGTGGCCACGAAGGTGCATGAACCATTTTCTTTAGCATTCTTGCTTTCTTTTTTTGACTAAGCATACATGTCCTTATTTCCTCCATCTTTCTTTTTTGCAGAGAGGGACCAAAGAATTACCTACACCTTTGAAAACCATCGATCACGTGCAATCTATCTCTCCCCCTCTTACTCAAAGCAGCAACATCCTCTCCATGAACCATGGGGAGAACATGTTGACTGCTATAGTAGTGGCTACTCCTGCCAGCTATCGAGGATTGCATAGCCACCCGTTAGCCTCATTCTCCTACTAATACTGGTGTTAACCTTAAAGAACAGATTAACACCGAACTTGTCATCCTCTCTCTAGCACTCCCAATTGAAGATCTAATTGATTCTTCCAACTTAGGTCTCCTTCAATAGCATCCTCTCAACCTATCTTGCTCTATTCAGGAAATGGCTGCCCATGAGGATCCAGCTGCACGAACACCCCTTATTAACCCCTTAACTAGGTCTGGTAATAAGCCACATCAATTGAAAAAGTCCCTACCTTCTACCTCTTTTGTAAATGAGGTATATAACTTTTTCATTTGCTCATTTTCCCCTATTTCTCTATATCTACTCCACTAATGAATGCCTCACTTTTTTCCTCACAGTAAATGCTTGAATCCACATCTCATGTTTCCACTTCTGATCTTTACATTGAAGCCACTTATCAGAAAATAGATATATTCATGAAAGTAGTGGACTTTGTGTCGACTTCAATTATTTCTCTTCCACCCATCGATGATGCCTTAGAACAAGAATTTTTTCTTTTTTTTTTTTTCAAATTATTGGAGTTGTCCTTTGATCAACTGATTGAGACTAACCTTGCCTCTGTGGACTCATGTTTAGCCAAAAACTCTGCTACTTCATCAACTTACTTCAACGAACAACAACAAAAACAAATGGCCTACATGAGTGCTCACCTACAAACGAAGATCTCCCAAGCAAACTACTTCAAAGATGAAGCAAGGACCAAAATCAGTTTCATTAATTCTATCAAAGACTTTGCCCTTAGTTATTTCCAATAAAAAAAAAGAGAAGTTGAAAGAAAGAGATGTTTTACTATCCTAGAAAGAAATAGAGCTCAAGGAAATGCTATCAAAAGTGATGGAGGAAAGCTATGTAATAAGGCAAAAAAGAGAGAACTTGCTTCTTCACACAAAAAATCTGGTGGCCTCCCACCAAGATGGAAGTGGTAGGGTATTGGCCGCAGTCGAGAGTTTGAAACATGCCCAACAACAACTACGCTTGCTCTTAAACGAATGTGATACTTTCAAGCTCTATTTTTATTTATAGACTCTTATAACCTTTGTATATTCTTCTCCCCATTTTTTTTTGTACATAACCATTTAGTCCACTTAATAGGAGATCATTTCTTCTTTATGTGTGGCCCACCTATTTTTCTTTATGTTTGGGTTAATGTATATGCTTCCATCATTATGGAGATACCTTTCCACTCCAAAGATGGCAAGATTTTTTTTTTCTTTTTCCAAATAATTTTAATCAGATAATCAACCTCACAGTTACCTAAATTGATAATGACAAGATAGAACAATACTTTTAGAATTCTTGAAAGAATATTCTCATTACAGAATCAAAAGTCATACCAAAGCCATCGACTACTAGCACATATATTTAGGAAATCTGCATCTGTTCTTTCATTTAAACAAAAATCTTAAAGAAAAAGCACTAGACACTAGTCACAATGACATAGAAGATCTATCCATATATCACCTAGTTCGCTTTTTGATTTTTGCTCTTCATCCTAGATGGCTCTTTTACCTTCCTGAACAACCCTTTTGATGTATCACAACCTTTTGACCTTCAACTGACTATATTTTTTTGCAGCAATTTGTTCTTCATTTTGCCTCCAATGCCATTGATTATGGAAACCACCTGATATCCTTTGACTTTTTCTTTTACACCCTAAACGTTCCTTGATATTATTCCATTACTATAAAACCTTCCACTGGCATTATGAATCCTACTAGTAGCCTCTTGCCAACTCAAGACCTCTTTACAAGTCACACCAATACTCTTCTTCAGTATCCTCTTCCCTTGGCTTAGGCAAAAAAAATTCAAGCTTAGCCAACATATGGCAAATCTGGTGCAGGCTCTCATCAAGATTCCTCTCAGATGGCCCTGCTTCAATGTCTCCCCTTATGGCAGTTAGATCCCTACGGTAGAAATGTGCTTCCACATTATGTGCATCTGCATAGAATGAGTTAGCATCTTCCCAATGTACTTCCATCCCTTTCCTTCCCACATTGTCACTCTCTGACAGAAAGATTAAGGCTTTCCTCTCTGATGGCCCTGCTTCAATGTCTCCCCTTATGGCAGTTAGATCCTTACAGTAGAAATGTGGTTCCACATTATGTGCATCTGCATAGAATGAGTTAGCTTCTTCTCAATGTACTTCCATCCCTTTCCTTCCCACATTGTCACTTTCTGACAGAAAGATTAAGGCTTGGTGCTGAGATGATGACATAGTATTATTTGCATGTATCCAATCTCTTCCCAGAATAGGATTGAAGTTGGATAAAAAATCCACCACAAAAAAAGTTGTCGAGGTGTCCCTATTACCTAGTTGGAGTTGCACCAACAAAATTCTTTTTGCAGAACAAGAGTCTCTTGCAAAATTATTGACGGTAATGTTAGTATAATGCAAATCCTTTTCTTTTTTGCCTAAAATTTTAAGCATTCTTAAAGGAAAAATATTCACCACTGTCCCATTATCAACCAAGATCTTGTTAACAAGCTGACCATCGACGCGGGCTTGAATGTATAGTGGCCTTAGATGTTTAGACAATTCTTTTCTAAGTGGGTGTAATATTACTCTATCTGCCCCCAGTCTCCTTGGTCGATGCTTATAGACCTTCCATCCGATCTAAACTGTTTTACTGTTCTGCAAACAGAACTATCATCTACAGACTCAGTACTATCATCAACATCTTCTGCCATTTGACTTGGCTATCCTAGCTTAGCCTTAAATGACTCAGGTAAAGCCAATATCATGTTACATGGTGCATTATCTCTGAGAAAGAACTCTCTATCGTCGAAGTTCATTAGCTCCTCATCAGAGAGCATGCCCTTTATCTTCTTCCACTTTCTCTTTCCCTTTTGCTGATAAACTTATAGATATTTTCTCTGTGTCCCCTTCAGCCATATCTAGTATCTGTTCTAAGATATTTTGTTTGATCTGAACCTCCTTGTTTTCTTTCTGTTGTTCCCCTATCCAAGTGGGGTTTTTGTTCCCCTCGATAGACTAAGACTTTAGTAAGCCTCTAAAAAAGTAGGATTTTGCCAGCTCATCTAGGTAGCAAGCTTCCTCTATTCTCTCCTTTTCTGAGTACTATTGAGTGTGTGGTACCATGCCCCAAATGGAAACTTTCGGTGTTGAACTTAGTGTCATTTATCATTATGGACTTTAGGGGGATTTACTGTTCATGATCCGACTTTTGAAAGAAGCTCAAATCTCTTTTTCCTCTTCTGGGACTGCTGTTCTTGGCACTCTTACTTCTTGATCTTTTGCCAAACACTCTTTGGCCATCGATGACCTAATAGAATGATCAATTCCTTGTATTTTTCCTCTTTTTCCCCGATGCTTAGTACCCCTCGCATCTCTCCTAATTTCAGGGAGACAATAGGGACCAGACTGATATCTCTCTATGATTGGAAAGATGCCTAGGTTTACACACGAAGATTTTCTCATAGCCATTGTAGATTTGCACATCTCATTTCCCTCTAGTGCTGTATTGAAGTCATTTATCAATGAATTCCTTGACTACATCATCCAGTGGGATTACATTAGATTTGGCTATTTCTTTTGCACACTTGAAACACATAACCAACGACTTTTCCTCTTTGGAGCCAAGTCTGTTACGCATTGGGACTCTCATATTGAGAACAATTTTCTCTTTCTCAACCACAAAATTGGCAGATTCCTTATTTCCTTGCGTGTTAACAAAATCACATTAATGTTTACTTCCTTAAGAAAAGGATCTTTGTCAATTTTCGTAGTTTCTTCCTCTTTTGTGGCATACTTAAGCATTCCCTTTTGTATTAGGTCTTGCACTCAATTCCTAAAGGTGATGCAATTCTTAGATGAATGTCTAAATGAATTATGCCATTTGCAATACTCCTTTCCTTTTTTATCTTTTTTCTAGTGGGATGATATGTCCTTAAGATAAAACTATGAACTGTTGGTTGATCATCTCATCAAAGAGAGCATCAGCCATCGACAGATCAAAAGAGTATTGTATAGAGGTTTGGGGTGTATTCTTCTTAAAAGAATGATTAGATGGCACGTCGACATGGTCTTCATTCTTTTTCAGTGTATCACACATGATTGGTGACTTTCTTACGACGTGTGCCACATCTATTTCAACTTCTCTGTCAAAATCTTGGAAATAATTTTTGTTGGAGTTATAGCCTAGTTATTAGGATTTTTTTAGTATTTTACCTATTTTGAACTTACTATAGTTTTTATGTCTTACCCAGACTAGAGGGGTGTTGTGGTCAATTGCACTTTCATTTGGTCATATATACAAGGCTCTGCACTCAGTTTGTGCATCCTTTTTACTCACAATAATTCGAATTGGTATCAGAGTTAGCTAAATCCTAGCCTTACCTATCTCTAACCCTAACCCTGACCCTAGCTGCCAAACCCTAGCCTTTTCGTTGCTGCCCACCACCTCGCGCACCCCTTCCCACCAGCGCCCCAGTCTGTGACCTCCTCGCAACCTTCTCCAACAGTAGTAGCTACTGGTTTCTCTTTTTCCTAGGGTTAGAACACCCTAAGGACTTTTAGAGGGGTCAGATCCCCTACATTGATCTACTTTTGATGTAGTAGATCACCTATATATTTTTCTAGATTTCTTAGCATTGTGAGTTGTTATTTGGGAGCTTTCTTGACCTCTTATTTGTTGTTATTATTCGATTGGAGGTATATTGTTCTCCTTTGTTTACTCTATTTATTTTAGAGTAATTTTTGTCACGATTTTCGCATTATTATTGTTGCTTTGGCCACTGGTAAGGGACTTAAGAGCTCTGCCATTGGTATTTCCATTAGGGAGGTACCGACCACTTCTGCAGGGATTACCCTTTCCATCTTTATATTTGACCAGTATATAATACCTACTGGCACAGTTGTATTACCGGCGATGCCAAGTATAATCTCTCAGAAGATTACAACATAGTTATTAGATGGCAGTAACTTTACTGAGTGGTCACACTCATGTTACTCTTTTTGGGGCGTATTGGAAAGCTT